TTCGTGTAAATTATCGCTTCTAACAATTGCTGATAATTCATCTTGCAATATTTCTATCTCTTTGAAGTTTCTAACTTTATAATAAAACAAATGACTTATATTTACTCTAATAATTGGTGGGACACTTGATGATTTCTGAAGACTGACAAGCGTTGATATTCCACTATGACGACCTCTACAAAATAAAGAATTTAACAATTTGTTATTTCTTGTTATTGCTGGATTATCAGATACATCATCCAATATAACTAATATATTAAATAACTTCTTCATTCCTTGTTTTTTCTGATATTCAATTATTTTATTTTGAGTTTCTATAACTCTTTCTAAATCTTCAACATTGAACTCATCCCACCAACACGGTTCTTTATCAGTATCTACTTTCAAACCTTCTTTAATGTATTTTTTGACAGGCAACCAAATACTATCCAAATTTACAGATGGGGACCAGATAAAAACTCTTTCAAATGCTCCTCTATAAATATCAAGTATCATTGATACAAGTAAAGTTGATTTTCCAGAACCAGACGGACCTACAATCATAGCTCTCATCGGCAATTTAGGGACGACCTCGTGCTTACTTTGCTTAAAGTCATATTTGATTTCATCAATTGGTTTTACATCAGGCATAATAAAAATAATATTAAAGACATTTAGAAAATAATTTAATATTTATTATTTTATATGAATAGAAGTTATTCAGATTATATCAATATAATAAACGAAGTAGAAAATATAGAACAAGTTGTTATAACTAATAATAGATTTAAGAAAGTATGCTATTTTGTTTTAGAATTAATTAAGTTTGTGATACAATATATTAAAAATATAAATATTAATATAGATGGGGAGAAAGAAAAAGAATAAGACAGAATCAGTTGTTTCTTCAACCGATGAAGAAAAAGAAGAAATTGTTAAAGAAACATCAGTTATTGAGTTTGCTTGTCCAATGTGTAAAAAAATCTTAGAAATGAAAAATGAATTAGAAATACAAAAGAAAGGAAACTGTAAATGTTCGTGTATTCCGACAAGTTTCAAAATAAGTAGAAATGATAAGAAAATGAATATTGATAAAACTAAAGACAGTATAAACTTAGAAACAGATGTTCATAATATTGCTATCAAATGGGGAAGGCATGCATCACCATCCGATAATGGTGATAAGGAAACACAGGAAACTGTTAAACAAATAATGAAAAATTAGTATTTAAAGAGTAGATTTAACATAATTGCAACATTTAGTTTTAAAAGTTTAGTTTTATAATTTAGTATATATTTTACATGGCTGAAGGATTAGATAAGATTGTTAAACAACTAAAAAAGGTTTTAGAACAGAATAATAATATTTTGGAAATCTTACAAGAAATGGAAAAGAAGAAACCACTAACAAACAGTTATCAAAGTCAGGAAGTAGATAGAACCAGAGCTGAATATAAAAATAAAAGAAATATTTATTTAAACAAACTTAATAACAAAGAAATTAAAGAACCGAAGGCTTCAACTATGACATTTTATCAAATTGACTATGATGAAGATACAGGGGTTTATTCATAATATAACGATATATTGAGAAAATAAAAGACCGCACACATACATGTTTGATTTGTAATTGTTGTGTGTCTTGGAGGGCAAAAGCAAGACACGAAAAAACTTTGAAACACCAAAATTATTTAAACGAACTTAATAACAAAGAAATTACAGAACCGAAGCAATCAACAATGGATTATGACAAAATAGAATATGACAAGGAACTGAAACTTTATGTTTAATCATTAACTAACAAAATTTCGTGTCTCAAAAGCGGTTTGTTTATTCCTGCTACTTTGTAAGTTTTATTACCCATAATATCATATTCAATTTTATCAATATTGAATATTTTATTAGACCATTTAGAGTTATACTCCTTTCTGTCGGTGTAATTACCCCTTTTCTTTTGAAACACTTTTACCTTGTCGTTCTCCACTATTCTGGGATACTTTCTTTTGTTTTTTTCTCGTAGTTTAAGATTGACCTTTACATTTATTTCATTCTCGTCCTTGTGTGCTTCAGACGGTGTCATCCTTGTTGATGAGTGAGATGTGCTGTTATACTGTTTCAATGCCGGCGTTAGGGCGTCGGTCCATTTCATGTTGTTAAACCTAACTCTATCGTGAATTTTGTTTTTCATCGTTCTAATAAAACGCTCGGCCACATTTGCGTGGGTCTTCGTAACGATGTGGTTTATTCCTTCACTGTTGAAGAAATCCTGAACGTGATTTTTAGTTGCAAACGCTCCGTCGTCATCAGAATACACGGACATCGGATTCTTTTTAAAGCTTGCCTTTCAAAACGTTCTCTCCGTCTCTTTCCTCCATCGGTATTACATCTGCTAATTTACTGAAGATGTCAATCACGACTAAAGCATACTGTGGAACGTTCTTGTCTTTTGCTAAAGGTGACATATGCATTATGTCTATTTGATATTCATATCGTGCGAATGGAGCGGTATAGGAATTAGTACCTCTATAATTTTTGATTTGTTTATTTGGTTGTTTCTTTAAGAAAGACTTTACATCGTCTAATGTTATTGTTGGGTCTTCTTCCTTTGCCTTCTTGTGTGTCGCTTGTGTGCTTCCGAAACCCTCGTCTAAGTCGTAATAGATGTTGCTGATTATTTGGTCTTTTGTTAATCTCGCCATTATATTAAATTGTTAGAAAATATTTTTTCAATATAAAGCCCCACCCCCTTAACATAAAATACAAACTACTTAAAGAAAAATGGATATAATATAGTAAGAAAAAAATGACACTGTTTAATTATGATAAATGTCCTTGTAAAAATAAAAAATGTAAGTCTGTCGTGGCACTAGCTAATATTTTACCTGTTGATGTGTGTAATCTTATAGGTGGTTATATTAAACCAACATGTTTTGATTGTAGGTATTTGATGGAAGAAGAAGAACATTTCATGAGAAATAAAGACATTCCTGAAGAAGGACTGGAAAAAGCAGAACTTCAATTACAAGTTATTAAACTAACGCAAAATAATGTTTTTTACACTACTAGCGGAAAACCAATATAGTATAAAATTAAGACATTACAGAAAACACATTGACCGAGTATTTGATATACAAGAAGTTAAAGAACGGTTTAAAACAAGAAAAATGTATTATCAAGGATTAAAATCATATTGTAAGAATAATCAAAAAGAAGTTGCTGTACTTTTAAAAAATTGTCTTAAAATTGAAGAATTAAAGTTTATCAAAAATAGTGATTTGTTCTTTCCTAACCTAAACAATTGGTGGTCATATAGAAATAACAATTATTATATGAGAAACATATTAAGCGACTTAATTGAAATTTACATAGACCAATTAATAAAAGGATACGAGCATTATTGTTGTGAGTATAGTATGAGTTGTTATAGTGGTTGTATCGCTGGTGAGATTGAATACGGGTCAAATTAACTTTTGTTTATTAATATTATTATCTTATAATATGATTAAACATTGATTTATAATCTAAAAAGAAGGTTAAGACATTTAAATTAAACCTGAAACCCAGACCAGCCGACCAGCAACCCCCTAGCCAAAACTACTTAAGGAAATATTACCTTATATATTAAAAGGAAAATGAACGGTGATGGAATCAATAATTATATCAATAAAAAATGCTATGATTGTTGCCACTTCAAAAAAAAATATGGAATTGTATAAATTGAGTTTACCTAATGAAATAGTGAATAATATTATTAATTATTCAATGGATGGTGAAGAAGACATATGTAAAAATTGTAAAACTTGGAGAGATAATCAATTTTTAATCAAATGTCTGTTGGGAATAAAAAGAATACATAATAGAAATGTAGAAGATGATATTTTAATATTTCTAACTGTAAATAAAATACCACCTTACGATTGTGTTAAACAGTTTCTTAAAATCAGTAAGAAAAAATATGACACGATTTACGATATATTATGGATGTTGGGTTATAGTCAAGAGAAAGGAGAAGATGTTAAAGAAAATATCAAATTATTTATTGAAAGTAAAAAGTTTAATGTTCAGAATACAGTGAGAGATGTTAATATTATTTTTAAAATGATGTATGAAAGAAGTAAGACAAACCAATTAGATTATTATCCTGAACTGAAATTATAATCATAATATAATAATAACATGTAAAATCTTATATGTTATAATTATACTGAACTTTTAACCTATAACACCCCTTAAACTTATCTAAAGAAATAACCCCTTAAACATATAGAGACCAATGACAGACAAAAAGCAATGTTCCAAATGTAAAGTCTTTCAATTGTTAGAAAAGTTCAACGAGGGAAGAAAACAATGCAATGTATGCTTGGAAAATAAACTACGGTATAGAGAAGCACACAAAGAACAAATACAGCAGAAGGCAAAGGTTTATTATGAACAAAACAAAGAACACAGACAAGCATATAGGAAAGAATACATCCAAAGGAAAATTGAATGTCAATACTGTAGATGTATGGTAAGCCCTCAACACAAAGCAAAGCACGAAAGAACAAACAAGCATATCAATAATGTTAAGAATCCAAAACCACCAAAGAGAGAAGAAACACCAAAAGAAAACAAACAAACAACACAGAAACAAATTAGAGAATACATAGAAACCTCATCAGATTTTGAATATGACTTCAACAAAGAATAGGATAAAACAAAAGCACCACCAACATCCCAGAACATTATAACTACTAAAAGGGCTACCTCTTTCAAATGAAAAAAATGTTTGCCCCCAGCCCAACAATGAACAAGGCGACAATTTACCCAAATGATTACCTTAACGAAAACGATAAATAAGCTCCCCAAAAACCCTCTTTTAAAAACGGATAAGGTGGTTAATAGGTTTGAGATGAACATAAAAACCATAACAGGCAACCATCAACAGGCTTCCCCTCAGGAGCCCTACTTTCTCCATTTTTTCCCCCCCCCCCTTCCTGGTCCTTGACCTGACAGCGAGTCTCATTTCGTTTCACAGCCAGGTAAAGGCCCTGCAGGCTTTGCAGCATCCGCCGGAATCTCGGAACATAGCTTGCCTTTGGTCAGGGCCCCTACACTTCCCGTGCGTGGGTGTTTTAAGCATCACATGTTTGGCCTTGAGCTGGGTTTCTGTTGGTAGGGGTGATGTTTCAAATGGAAATTCAGGGAACCCTATTGTTTTCGGGACAACTCAGGACACTCCGCTTTGGAGTTGTGTTCAGGGCAATAAACAAGGTACAAGTGGCCATTTTTTGGGGTTCCCTATTTCAAGACAGAACGCTATGTGCCGTGGTCAGGGAACCGGATGGTCACTAACCTAGGGATCTGCTTGCCTCAAAGTTCTCACGGGAATCACGCAAGGAGCTTTGACCACGGCTGTGGCTCCAGGAATTCTGTTGACGCACCCTCCCGCTCCGGGCTTGCAATAGGTGGGTTTCACCCTCTAAACCTCTTGGGTGATATGGGTGTTCTTTGCTAAAAGGTCAACCGCCAAAAATCACTTAAGATCAGGGTCAGCGGGCTGCTTGTATTTGCAGACTTTGCGAGTTGCTTCTTTTTCTCACAGGGATCTGATGATACCTGGCAAATCCTTGTTAAAATGTGGTGGCAGCCAAAGCAAATTGGAGCTTTGCTTTTGGAAAAGCAATCGTAGCTTTCGTGGCAGTGAATTCCGGCGGTTAGACTTTTTACTTGTCACAGACTTCAGAAATATTGTCAGACATGCGTTGGCAGGTGTCAATGGATCCTCGGTTCCCATTACTCCTTGTAGACTCAGTCGCGCTGCCTCTGCCCAGGTGGGCGTGCGATTTGGCGTATTGACACCTGTTACTGTTGAGAGCGCGGGTGAACCGACATGCTATCAGAAGACTTGAATGTTTTAATTCTTGGGGTGGGGGGTGGGCATAGGGACAGCACTGTGAACTCCAGACAGCCATGGGCAACGGTTTCCGGTTAGCTGGCCTTGTTTTGTTTTTAGGGGATCTCCATGTTCCCCTCGTAAGCACCCTCATATACGCAACGCCTAGTTCAAGACATATTTTGGGGCAAGTGGCGCCAATATTAGCGGTACGCAGTTTCGAAGAATTTGCAGGCCTTGCCAACCCCCAACTTCAGGAGACAGACATTTGCCTTGTTTCAGGGTTTGTTTGCATCTTGCAATGTGACCTGTGGGCATGTGTCAAAGGAGCCCGAAATCCGAGCCTCCGAAACAAGCAAAAACAGCCCCACATGTACGGTGGTCAAGTGCACCAAGCATGATTTTAGTATTCCTTTGTTGGGTTGAAAGGGAAATTCTATCTATGAGTTGACCAGGAGACTTAGGCAAATGAAACATCAGACCCATGGCTTTCCCAGAAAGAGTGCTCAAGGTGCATCCTGCGGTACTACGGCTCCATCCAGAGCCAAGACTCGCTAAGTCTGGCACGCCCGAGACGCGTTTTGCGACGTGAACTTCTTGCCTCAAACTAGACTCCACTCACTCCCTGAGTTCATGGACTTCAACTTTTGTTTGGGAAGACCCTTTTGGTGTCAAGTAAATAAGTTGGACTCTTTTTGGCCAATCCATTCAGGAAATGAGTCCACAAGCTCAAGAAAAAAGACAAGTCTTGGATTCCCAACCTTAGGTTCTGCAGCACTCCGGCTTGGACTTATCCAATGGTCCCCGTAGGAATCTAAAGGCCTGGAAGCTTGGGACAAGCGAGTTGATCTAAAGCCACCTTTCTCCAATACTTCATGGTTGTTGGGAAACATTTTACATTTTTGCTTACTGTGGTTTAGTGGGAAATCCAACCACTGAACTGCTAAAAAGAAAAGTGTTGCTCCCCTTCCCACGTCAACCAAGAATAGCTAACCTTCCTAGGTTGAAGACTCAATGCGTCCTCACAAGTCTCACACAATTTGGTTTGAAGGCTTGGGGTTCGAAAGCTGCATGGCACTTTCCAACAGGCATTGCTGCGCCCGTCCTGGGCAGAGTTTGCTTTTTGGTCCACCATTGGCTTGCTTTGCCCCTTTGCAACGCAGGCGGCAAGCCGTGCTTGGGACTACAAGCATACCCAGCATAAAGCCACAAAGCTCTGGGACTGCTGTTCAGCGGCGGGGGGCTGCTGAAAGGGGGTTCTGGAGGGGTTTGCAGTTTGGCTGAGCTGGATGAATTCCAGGGGCTGCTCGGACCTCACGACCTTGCAGCTTTATCCCCATGGAGGGCTGGGAAACATACCTCCAGTTTTTCCACCGAAGACACGCTGGCCCACGCTCGGTGGAGGTGTTAAAGTGTCAGGTGAAAGTAGGTGGCCCAATTCCCCAAACCGCCCAAAGAAAGGAAGTTGTGCAAATCTACTCACTCCCTGAGTTCCGTTTCGGACTTGCGTCACTTTTTGGGTTTGGACCATTTCAGTGGGCAGGTGATGGAATTTGCGGACTCGGGGGATCTTCAGCAGCTTGTGAAGCAGCACCCCGGCAGCTCAGATCCTGAGATCGATATGGCTGCTGCTGCGATGAGGGACCCAAGCGCTGAAAAGAAACGCCTTCGTTATGTTTGTTGGGTTTAAAGGCAAACCATGAAAGAACCGTGAAAATCATAAGTGGGCGTGTGCGTGTTTTGTTGGCGGTACTTTTTATTGGTGGTTGTAAAAGAAGACCAAAAGGAAAGCCACTTTTGAACAGGTCTCTTAAGAAGAAGACCCACCTGAAAGGCTTGCCCATTGAACCTTTTGCTTAGGGAGGCTCTGGTGTGTGGTTTTTGGAGGGTACCCCTTTTCAACTTGACTTAGGGGGAACCACAAGGAACACCTACCATCTTGGGGGTCCCCTATGTCGACACATGCACACATCATGGATGCGCCGTCCAAGAGAGAATGCCTAGACAATTTTGGGGCTCGCAGTGTCCAAGCGCGCGCGACCACGCATAGGCAGCCAAATACTGTACATAAGCAGGGTTTTTGCAAAGATGCTCGCTTTGGGAGTCAAAGCATGACTTTTCCAGACCACCAGGGCACCGCCATTTGTGTTAGGGCCTCTTACTCCGAAATTTTATGAGGATCCTTCCAAGAACTCCTAAGGTCCTAAGAACCAGAATTGGGGGCGGGGGGGGGGGGGGGGCAGGATTTTCCTTGGTTTTCAATCATTTCACAGACAAACGTATAGTTCCTCACAGGCAAAAACCCCAACTAATTACCAAAGACATACCAAGAACTGTGAGGGCAAAAGGTCTCCCTGCCTTTCGTTGATGGCCCTTTTGCGGTCCCGCGGATCGCGCACCCGATGAGGGCACCAAGGGCCGAAACAACCAAAGGGTTGACTTCACAGTTCTTGGCATGTCTTTGGCAATTATTGGCTTTCTGCAAGAAACGCAAATATTTTTGCTCACGTGCAAAGGGTTGGAAAGTCCCATTCACAAAAAAGGGAGTACCCTCAAGGAAAAGAACCCCAAGCTTCAGCAAACCAGAGCCTCAGGAAGTCAATCGTGGCATTTGCGGTTGAACAAAGGCAAGTGGACATTTGCAGAGTCCCATTCTCCATGTTGGGCTTAAACACGGCATTCGGCTTTCCGTAAACCAGCATGATCTTGTGCTTTTGCTTTTTTTTGCCCCGACGGCTTCTTGTGTTTGTCAGAGTCTGAGGCTTGCTTTTGCTTCCCTCCAACCTACCTCGATGTTTAAAAGAGGACCGCGTTTCTTTCGGTTCAGTAAAACCCAATAAACAGTTACACCTAATGATGCAGCAGGGATCAAGCCTATTTGTTTAGTACTATTTGCAAGCCATCCGGCGTGGCAAGAAGTGGCGAAGCTTCACTATGGCTTATGGGGGCAAGACTGGCAATAGCGAAGTTGCTCAACTGTGACAATGCGACTTTGGTGATGGTAGAGCCTCAAATTATTGCTGTCCCTCGAGCTTCGGGGTTTATGCCAGGGTCATATGGATAGGTCTGTCCCAGGATTTGTCCTCATTGGATCATGCATGTACAAACACGGAATTGTGGGAGGACAAAATCTGCATCCTGCACCGCTTGAGATAGATTGAGATAGATGTAACCTTATTCACAAAAAAGGTCCCTGACTTGCGGGATTCCAATTGTAGAGTAAGTTGTTTCAAAGCAAGTTGAACAGCTGTACTTGCCGCAATTGCCGCGGCGAGGCAAGCGGACTCTGACAGGCTCTACGAGGCTGTCGGCAGGGGCGACGGGTGCGAAAAGCGCGGAGAGCTGTCGGGTGTCCAATATGGTGTTCTTGTTGGAGGTTGGCTAAATGTCATTCACATTCCTACCTCTTAAAAACACATTTTTTCAATTTGTTAGGTAACATGGGCTATATGTCTGTAAAAGATTAACTTCCCCAGGGCTTGGAGTTTTACGGGGTAAGCATTTGGCCAACCTCAAAAGATACAATAGAAGCACTGAAGCAGAATGTCAGAATCATAGGTTTGCGTACTCTTCGGTTGGGCCAACGAGTTGTTCAGTGGCATCTGTTGAGTGGAGCTCACCCTGGAACTCCCTTTTTCTCTGTTGCCCAGTGGTGCCCTCTCTCTTTTCCTTTGTTTGGGCAAGGGTTGCCCCTTTAGACTCACCTTTTTTTTCTTCTTCTCATGGGCACTGGGCATCTAAGTTTTGTTTGTGTTTGGCATCAGTTTCCATTGAGCCAAGTTCACCCTTGCCCCCTTCTCAAGGAGAGCAAGAAGAGCTAGAAGGCAACACTTGTGGCTTGAACGTTTGAGCTAGGGCCCTGCGAGGTCCCGACCCTGGCTTGTCCAAAGGGAACCCTCGAGGACAGGGCGGGAAGGAGGAGAATTGGTGCCTTTGTGATACCACCAGGGCATATGTTTACGAGCTCGCTTAGTTGCTTGTGGGCAAGTCGAGCTCACCTGTGAGAAGGTCACTGTGCTCAGTAGGGAATGGCTCCTCATTCCCTGCTGAGACCCAGCAAGTTATTTCTATTCCAGAAACCATGGTAGCGCGGCTAGATACCACAGAGGTCCCGGTTGAAGTGAAGAACATCGTCGGAAGGTCGCTTCTGCGGCCTGGGTGTGCTGTTCGGAGCGGCTGAGATGTTCCTTGCTCGAGGTGATTGACTTCAATGTGGTTGTAGCTGGTGTGGGGGTAAGTGCCTCTAGCGACAGGGCAGCTTTACACGCTTCTAAGAGCCCTTCTTAAGAAGGTTCTAGGGCCCTTCTTGGGGGAGGGACTCTTCACCGGTCGTGGGCAGACAGGTTCTTAAAAAAGAACCTTGTCCAATAGAATCTTGTCAGCTTCCATTGGAAATCGAGTGTCACCCAAAGACTCCCAGAGGCTTTCAAACACGGACCAAAAGAAGCCCACAAAACGAACGCAAGGACAAAACGAACGCCCGTTTTCAGCAAAACAACCGGGAGCTTCTTGTTGCTTCAAGTCCCAAAAGACCACTCCGAGGCATGATCATAAAGCGTTTCTTCTCGCAAAGCAAAGGGCAACTTGTCAGCTTCCCTCTGGAGCCCGGCGGTTTGGAGCCGGAGCCCGGCGGCTTGGAGCCGGAGCCGGAGCCGAATCGGTTTGGTGAAGGAGGGGATTTTCCCCTGGTACCTTCTGGAAGGGGGTCAAATCCCAAACCACCGGTCTCCAAACCAATTAGATCCGGTTTAGGGGGGCTGAACTTTTGTGTGCTCCTCTTTTTTTTTGGTCAGCTCAAATGATGTTGTTCCTCTTTTCTGTTCTTTGTTTATTTGTTTCTTCCTCTTCTCTTTTCTTTCTTCCTTCCGCGAGCCACGCTTTCACCGGTTTCACCCTCGACCCGGCGCCAGGTCGCAGCGCTCCTGTCGATCTTCGCGCAGCTGGTGGTGGCCGCATCGCTGAGCGAAAGTTTGAGCGAGAGCGTGAGATGTCATGGCGCATGTGCTGCACTTGCCGCATGTCACCCGATTTTCCTGAGTTGGACTGTTCTCCACTTTTTCGAGAAGACAGTTTGAGTGGCAAAGAGACAGTTCGGAGCTTTTGTTTCGGCCAATCCGCGGAAGTGAGTTGCGTGTGGGGTCTCCAAACCTGTTGTTGAAACATATTTTGGGCTTTTGCGCACCCCAAAAAATGCGGAAGTGCTCAACTCTTGCAGACCCCTCTTTTTAGGCACCCAGGTTGGTTACTTGCGCAGGTGTTGACAAGAGAGGCAGTTGGCTGCCAAGCGTGGGGCGCCATTGCGGGCGTTCGGGGCATCTGAGGCTGTGGCGCACGTCGCGGCGCTCAGTGGCCCTTCACAGCCTCGAAATTTGAAGACGCTCTTGAGGCTTGAGGAAGGCTAAGGAATTCTTCGGGGCCCAGTCAAATTGCTTGACTTCCTGACTTGAAGTGCAGGGATGGTTCCAATCGATGCAGCAAGCAGCCCTTGTGATTGAGAGGTGTTGGGCAGACTGGTCTACCTGCTGGGTATGAATCAGGTGTCAAATTCAAGGTTTCAAGGGCACCTCACTTGCTGAGTTTATGGATCTTAAACTGTTTGGGACAAACAAAAAGCTTGGACTTGTTTTTGCCAATCCACTCAGGAAGTGAGGTACATGCACCCAAATGGTTCAACGAGAAAGCGATAGGTCCATGCCCACCGCGTCCTGCACCGTGACTTGAAACCCTCCAACGTCATGGTGACCAGGCAGGGTTCCGTGGTGCGAAACCGAATCCGTGCGAAACCAAATCCCGAAGCGCAGTCCATTTTGCGCTTCTCCAAAAGACCCTCATCTTCAGAGGGTTCGACCTCAAGGGTACGACTCTGGAACCTTTTTTGGCAGGAAGAGGCTCACATACGTGGATTCTGGCAGGGTCCTGGAAGACAAGTTTCATCCAAAACCGCTGGTGGGTTGAATGATGTTGGACACGAGTACCTTTCGACTCCATGTTGGGAGAAATCAAGGGGGCGCCGTCTTACGAGGCTGAAAAGAGGAGGGGTCAAAAGGGAAACCCATCCCCCTTGAGACGAAGGTATGAAAGGGAAGTGTTGGCATACCAGGCACCAGCACATCCTTTTCCAATCACTTTTTCCGACATGTGGGCACAAAGGAAATCGTGTGTGGAGGAGGTTTAAGCCAACGTTCGGCTAGTCGGGGGCTGAGGGGATGCAAACTTGGTTAGAGCACGGGGCTTAATTAGTGTTCAATGTGTGTTTGGATGCTTGTGCCAGTGGCAGTCCGTCATCAACTGCTTGTTTGCAGGCTGCGTAGCCTGACGCAAGGCGTTGGCAATTCTATGAAGACTGAGCTGATGCTTTATGGATGGTTTTTGTGGCAACGCGCAACCAGCACACCCGCGTTTTGGAACCTCCACTTCGGAACCTCTCGAGCCATGGACCTGTGTGGGCCTAGCTTATGCATCGCCTCATTCCACTCGCAACCAAACACAGGGTGGCCACGGTTAGGTTCGGTTCGGTTCGGTTCGGTTTCTGAAACCTTTTGAAAACCTTTCTCCGGTTAGACTCATAACCTTCCAAAACCTGCCGGTTTGCACGGTTAATGCAGAAAAGTAAGATAAGGCTCTAGGTAACTCAGTCCTGCTTTCGCCCACACACACACAGACACAACCACACACACAAACAAACAAACGAACCGAACCATGCCACTGACTGATGCTGAGCATGTTGTTCCGCGCACGTGGCCTTGGGAAGCATCTCTGCAGTCAAAGCTCAGAAGCGCAAAAACCGCTCATGGGCCGCTTTTTTTGCTTGCCAAATTTCAGCGGTGTTTCGTGTGTTGCGAGCACTGCGGAAGCAAAACAGAACCAGAAGCGGCCAATAATGCGGGTTTGTTGGCTTGACGCGTGCAGGGGCCTCAGCTGCAGTGGCCTGCTAAGCGTGCCAAAAGTTCTGGCAATCAGGCTGGTGGGGCGTTGGGGAAGGGCAGGGCAGGCCCAGGGCAAGGCGGCAAGCGCCAAAAAAAACAACCCACTGACAGTCAGTAAGTTGTTGTTTTTTCCGCGCTGCTGGCGCAGCCAGGCTGCAACAGGGTGCTCGGGCAATCCTGCGGGAGCAGGGGGAGTTGGTGCCAAAGCCGAGCAGGCCAAAAAAAACAAATCACTGACCGCTCGTGGGCCGCTTTTTTTGCTTGCCAAATTTCAGCGGTGTTTCGTGTGTTGCGAGCACTGCGGAAGCAAAACAGAACCAGAAGCGGCCAATAATGCGGGTTTGTTGGCTTGACGCGTGCAGCAAAGGGGCCTCAGCTGCAGTAGCCTGCTAAGCGTGCCAAAAGTTCTGGCAATCAGGCTGGTGGGGCGTTGGGGAAGGGCAGGGCAGGCCCAGGGCAAGGCGGCAAGGCGCCGGGAGAGCAAGCCCTTACACAGCGGGCAACTCAGTTTTCCTCCCGTTCGGCCCGCGAGAAACTGTTCCAATCCAAGCCGGGCTGCGCAAAAAAAAACGACCCACTGACCGTCAGTAAGTTGTTTTTTTTTCCGCGCTGCTGGCGCAGCCAGGCTGCAACAGGGTGCTCGGGCAATCCTGCGGGAGCAGGGGAAGTTGGTGAAACAGGTTGATGCTCGGACATGCAACTATTCCACGGCTTTTCTCAAAGTTTGCGAGTTCGACTCCCCTGGCGATGCTGTCTGCACCAAAGCCGAGCAGCCCAAAAAGAACAAATCACTGACCGCTCGTGGGCCGCTTTTTTTGCTTGCCAAATTTCAGCGGTGTTTCGTGTGTTGCGAGCACTGCGGAAGCAAAAATCAGAACCAGAAGCGGCCAATAATCAGCAAAGGGGCCTCAGCTGCAGTGGCCTGCTAAGCGTGCCAAAAGTTCTGGCAATCAGGCTGGTGGGGCGTTGGGGAAGGGCAGGGCAGGCCCAGGGCAAGGCGGCAAGGCGCCGGGAGAGCAGCGCTGCGCAAAAAAAGCCACTGACCGTCAGTAAGTTGTTCTTTTTCCGCACTGCTGGCGCAGCCAGGCTGCAACAGGGTGCTCGGGCAATCCTGCGGGAGCAGGGGGAGTTGGTGAGACAAGTTGATTCTCGGACATGTGACTATTCCAGCCCTTCAGACAAAGTTTGCGAGTTCGACTCTCCCCGCTGCCGCTTTGGAGCGGGATCCCGTGGCGGTGCTGTTGGCGATGCTGTCCGCGCCAAAGCCGAGCAGCCCCCCCAAAAAAAAGTCACTGTTTGTTTCTTGCCAAATGTCAGCGATGTTTCGTGTGTTGCGAGCACTGCGGAAGCAAAAATCAGTAATGCGGGTTTGTTGCTTTGACGCTTGCTGCCCTGCAGACCTGGGGACGGTTCGGTTTCTGTTCGGTTTGGTTCGGTTCGGTTTGTGGTTTGTTTCCGGTTTTCTTGCGGTTTTGAAAACCGGTTCGGTTAACCGGTTTCCGGTTCGGTTTTCAACCTTCCTGCAAACACGGCCATACTTGGAACGGGGCTCCTCAAAAGATACATTTTGCCCATTTGAAACATGGCTTTTTCCACCAAAAAAAGGAAACCACCATTTACAAGGCAATGTTCAGGTGCATAATGTAAGGATCCCTGTTGGAAGTTCAACAGTGTAAGCAGTATGGTTTGAAAAGGGAACTAACCCCAGGTAACCCGGGTGATTTGAGTCGTTAAACCCGAGTCCATGAAGCCGCATCCTCAAAACTACTCTTCAAATGGTGGGCTGGCTAAATGGAAACCACCCAACAAGTTGTTTGAGAATTCCTCAAAATGCCGCCACTTTAACAGGGTTCCTCAAGGATACATGTTGGCCGAATGAAACTCCACAAGTCGCAGCTGCTGTTGCGACGGGTTTCTACATGCACAAAGTGTTTGTGTTTTGTGCATCCTTTAAGGGACCCTTTGTGACTTTCCTGACCAGGGTTGTGGGATCAAGGGGTTTATCCCAGCTTCTGTGATGTTTTTGTGAATCTCCCCCCTCTCTGCATGGTGGAGAAGCCCGTTATATGTTAATTATATCACAGATCCCTGGATTCCATTTCAAGCACAGGCCTCCAAAGATAAGTTCACTCAAAAGAAAAATTGGTCATGAGACTCCAGGTTATGGCCTGAAAAGACTCTGCGATTTGCAAATCGCGCAGTAGCGGCCGCTTGAAGCTGGGCGACTTTGGGGTGGCCAAGGCTGGTCCGCTTCGCACCTGGGAGGTCCGCGAGGGAATGGTTTCAACCTCATGGTTTCTTGACTGCTATTGGGTAGCGGATCTTTAGACTTTAACTTTTTGGTTGAAATCAAGGGTTTTACACTAAACCCCGAAAGTTAAACTTTTTGCGGGGGGGTCAACAGCAACCAAGATTTCTTAGGTGGTGCGAACGGATTTCATGGGGACCTTTTCTGTTTTTTTGAGCCCAGAGGTGGTTTTTCCAGCCGGGGCCAGTTTTTCTGACCGCAGTTTTGCTGACCGCAGTTTTGCTGGAGGACTTCGTCCATCCACAGGATTTCTCTGGAGTTTGATTTGGGGCTTTGTTCGGGCATCGTTGAATGGTTTTAATATTTGCAACAGACCATGTATTACAATCAACTCCAGGTTAATCCTGTTGTACTGTTTGGGAAGAGCAATTAGTGGTCGTTGACCTATCCATTCAGGAATTGAGGTGCCATTTTGCCCTTTCTCGTGGGTTTCCGTTGGACACCTCAGGAAAGGGCGCCCTGTTTCCCCATGACCACTTGTTCTCGCCCTTCAGCTTTTTGGTCGCCAATCCCACTCTTGGCGTTTCTCACCAAAATGGTGAGAGGGGAATAAGCATGGGTTTCAGAGCCATTCCCCTTTGTGGAATCTCCAAAAGGAAACCGCCAGCAAATTGATCAACTGTTGATTCGAGGAAATCCAGTGACCCCTGGCGGACAACGTCAGGGAGACCCCCGTTTTGCATTTTGGACTGGGGTCATTGTTTTAACAGCTTTTTGGGATTGTCAAAGTCAGCAAATTGGGGTGTCCACTAGACCTACCACTCAGCAGGGCTCCTTAAAAGATACAGCTTGCCCATTGGAAACATGGCTTTTTCCACCAAAGTAAAAAAACACCACCATTTACAAGGCAAGTTTCAGGTGTATAATGCAAGGATCCCTGCTTCGGGTGTGACTTTGACCAGGTTTGCTTTGTTTGAGACGGGCGAGCCAGGTGCTCGCCGGCACCACCGTCATGGACAACATGACCTGCGTGGGCTCGCCAACCTACATGGCCCGAAGCTCCGAAGCTCCGGCCGTTTCGATGCTTAGAGCTGGAGGAACACCGGAAGCTACCCTCCCAGCCTTTTTCATAGGGAACCTGACAGGGAAACGGTCCCTTACAAAAAGAAGGTCTTTCAGGACCCGCCTGTCAGGTTCTGTGAATTGGTTGGAGGGTACGCTACTTAGGGTGGTATTCAATTCGTTCAAGCCCTGGAAACCATCCTTGAGGAGCCTTTCGAGTCCCCGGTAGGTTCTCTAGGCGAATCAGGCATGGCACGTATGGAGGGAGGTTTGAGCTTACCCCACGTGAAACTTTAACACCCAGCTTAAATCGGTTTGGAAATCCTGGGAAGCCGGCAATGTTGCAAGTTCTCTGAGCTCGGAAGCGAGCTCAACATGTGTTTGCTCGGTCTTTATGTCCGGTGTTGCAGCCAGCAACCACTCGACTTCCAGCAACCAGCCACTGGAAAGTTCCAGCTCGACTCCGAGACGCCGATCTTAGGCCCCGGAGATTGTGTCGGGGGAGCCCTACGGCGCCCCATGCGATGCCAGGGCCCGATCTTGGGTGTCCTACTGTGGATGGTTGCGAAATCCATTTCGCACCACACCAAGACACCATGGTTGAAACCATAACGTTGGTTGGTATTTACAGGGGATCATATCATGCTAGGGTTTCTCAGGTGGTGCAGGATTTCGTCCATCCACGGTATGTTGGACTTTGTCGACTCCAGGTTCCAGATCCTTTGGGCAAGGTTTACTTGGTTCAAGGCGCTTCGTACACATCCAAGCACTCAAACTGGTGTCATTGGGTTGCAAGCTGGGACTTAGTTTTTCCATGGTTTAGGGGGCTGGCCTTGGCTCCCTCACTTACGGCTATGACCGTGGCTTCAACATCCAAGTACCCTTCGACCTGGTGTCATTGGGTTGCAAGCTGTTCCGAAAGCGGATGGACTTAGTTTCCAGCTTGACCCCACCAAGCAAACCCACCCCTTTTGGGGTCCACCGGCTTTTGCCCCCCCCCCCCGCTCCCCATTTGTGTCGGGTGGGGAAATGGTTCTCAAAGGGCCGGGTCCGAGGCTGAAGGTGAAGCTTAGGTACCCCTCCATTTGCTTGAGAATATCTGTTATTTTCCCTTGATGGTTCATGAAGCGATTTCGACATCCTGCCCAGAAGCGCCCAACCTCCGCTCAAGTGAGAGGCTTCCATTCGGTTAACATTTTGTTTGTTTTTCCGTTGCTGGTTTTAAAGGGATTTCACTGCTGGACATGTTTTTTTTTCAGGGCGCTTAAGCAAATGGAAGGAAGGAAGCCCAGGCGCAAAGGCATCACTGGCTCATCCATCGAGGCACTCGAGTTCACCTCTGGTTTTTGGGGCTTGATGTCATGTCCTGATTGGAATCTGGATCATGGATGGATGGTTACATGATATATGTGCTTCTTTTCGTTCGCTTTTGGGGGGGAGGGGGGGGCTCCAACAAATTGCCCAACCGCAAATCGGAGGCCCGATCGGTGGTCCATTGCCACCAGGCAACGCTCAGACTCAGATGGCTGGTGCCGTGGAGGCTTGAGAAACCCTCTATCCTTTGGTGCATTTTGCCAAGGGATGTTAGGGTTTTCCGAATCAATCCACAAACAATATTCACCTTTAGCAGGGGAGCAGAAGGCAACCGAGTATCTCAAGCCAGCTCTTGCGTAAGTTTGAGGATGTCTCTTAAAAAGATCCTGGCTCAGATTGAGGCAAGTGTGAGTTCCCCACCAACCCTTGCAACTGCCTCAGCACTTGGGGCCTTTTTGCTTGTGCCTCATTTTCTCTGGCTAGACGCTTTACCAACCATAGCGATGCGGGAGCAAAAAAGTTCAACTTGTGCAGGAGGCAAAATGGGTGTGGCTCCAAATTACAGAGGTTTAGGGATACGCAGGTGCATTTTGGTACGCTGTTGTTGAGACACAGCCAAATCGTCACATAGACAAGGTCCCCCAGTAGGGCCCTGTTCTTTTTTGGGGTAAAATAGACTACAAAAAAAAAGGGGTAGCCTTAATCTAACCTCTCCACTGGAGGAGCTATCTTGGGGCTGCCTGTTAATGTTTGCCCACCCATTTTGGCCCCCCAGTAGTGCCTTTTGACCCTTTCCTTTTACCAGAACAACCAACCTTGGGGTTGCCCTTACTATAGCAACATCACGAGGGGATTTCTAGTCCCAGCTGTTTTTAGTGGGACCTGTCCGTCTTCCCCATTTGATTCATGGAGTCCCTTGTATTCTAACCTCTCCTCTGGAGGACCTAGAGGTCGTTTTGGCTCCATCTGAGGTGTGGAGCCTGGGGGTCATTCTCTACGAGACGAGCCCTCAGATGGCGGGCGGCAGGGTAGCACACGTATATATATATATATACATGTATTGCCATATGCATATGTATATATATATATATGTGCCGCTGGCAAAGCCGAGCTGAGATTTCTATGTTTTGTTTGGTGGTGGTTGGAACCATTTCTGGCCTTTTGATGATTGTTGTGAACCACGATTTCCTTGTTCAGGACCGTTTGGTGTTGAAGGAGGTATTCTCGTTTTAGTATTTGACTATCGGAATCTGGGCAGATTTCTTAGCGACGCTTCGTGGGCTGTGGAACCTACAGGGCCCTTTGAACCCTCAGCCAGGTTCCATGACAGGAGGGCAAGTCTCGGGGATGGGAAATGAGGCTTCCATTTGCTTAAGGGGATTTTTTACAGGGCATCGATGTCACTACTGGAAATATTTTCTCATTTTCTCCGGGGGGCTCAAGCAAGCGGAAATGACGGGGCGATGTTTGCGCAAGGGTATTTCAAGCAGCGGCGCCCGCTACGAGCTCCAGGCTTGGCGAAACTCCTGGCGAAAAAAACAAATCAGGGCGGCCCAGGTTTGCACCTGCCCGGCTCCAATTCGATGTATTTAGGGCCCTCCAAACAGCCAGGTTTTGGGGCCCGGGTCCCAAACACCAATTTGTTTGCGGGGTGTCTAATGGAGAGGTCTTCCATAAGCCGAAGCCGGTCGGAGCCTCTGGGTAGAGTGCGATCTCAGTTCCGCAAGGGCCCAGAAATAGAAGGTTCACCTCAGTTGAAAGCGAATCGACCGGATCTGACCTTTTGGTTCTCCTCAATTTGGGGTTCCCATAATGTTTAGTCCTGGCCCCAAAAGGTGATCACCTTTTGGCTCCAGGTCCCATAGGGGCAACTGAGCAACCCTTTGAAGGCCAGAACTGATGGACCACAATGAACCCTTCGCCATCTGTTTTGGTTTTTATATCGGGTGGCAAGCCGTTGGTTGTCGTTTAAGGGCAATTGGATCCACTACAGGAGGGCACGAAAGTGCAACCTCCGCCTGGGGGTTTCCATGTGAACAAGGGCGCCAAAGTGAAAGCCCCCGCCGCTCGAAATGGAAAAAACTCCGCCCGAGGCTCGCCAGCTTCAAGAGGCCCTTCGAGGGCAGAAGCCCGGGCCCGAGGCCGGGAGGTGCCGCTACCCGCCTCGCCCACCTCGCCCGCCTCGCCCGCCTCGGTGGATCGAGGCACCGGTCAGCCCGTTTGGAGTGGTAAACCAAAACCTGGAGTCTCCATGACCCAAAATAAAAATGGGTCCATGACCCCTTGATTTTGGGTAATGACCCCATTTTTAAAGGGTCATGGAGACTCCAGGAACCCAGAAGCCATGAAAGAAAGAAACATAAGGTAAACCCAAAGCTTCGGGATGGGCTTGTGTTGGCAATCCAGGGATGTGAGGATGTGAGGAGTCTGTGTTTGTATTCTGTTGGTCCGGTTTTGCTTCGAATGTTGGCTCCAACGCACCAAAGAAGTCTCTAAGACACAGCGAATCCAGTTGCACTTCTCGTAAACTTCAGCGAAACCATCATTTCAAACCCTACAAGTAGCTGACCAAACGTTGGTGGCCTGCCATGGGCCTCATCAAGGCCTATGATTTCAAAGAAAAACGGGGGAGGGGGAGGGAGGGAGGGGGTGGAGGGGGTGGACCCTATGCAACGGTACCTCGCGTGCCGAGGTTTGGGGGAGTTGGTGATGCGCATCTCCTCCGGCCAGCAGGGGCCCTAGAGGTCCCGAAGGCAGCGAGTCGGCTGAGAGTCGCTAAGCCTGGTAAGAGTCGTGACCGTCATTTTTTTAGGAATCGGAGCCGAACTGATGGGTTTTCCTTTTGGTTTCCCTTTAGAACGCTTAGAACGCAAGGGGTACCCTCAAAAAAGATATAAAGCCGCAATAGCCGGGAGAGGCTTTTTTTCTGGGGATTTCGTGGCTTCCAATTGGTTGGTGGCACTTGTGGCAGCTCCGGCCAAGGGTAGAAAATCGGCTGGGGTCCCTTTGGTTTTCTCTTCCAGGGACGAAGTGAAATGCCTTTGTGACAGGGCCTTTCAGGTGCATCCCTGTTACTTGGCGAGTGGGGCCGGCGAAGCAATTTCAGAGATCCTTGCGAGACAACGCGCATAGGGCAACAACAAACTGAGACTTGTAGCAAAATGCAGTTTGTCACTCGCATGCATGTTGAAGTAGCTGGCAGTGTGGCAGGCAAACCGGCCTTTCGACTGCGATGCTTGTACATGTTTATACCACGGATGCTTGTAGATCATATTTGGAAATGTGCATTCAAGTTGGGAGGCGAGGGTCGATCGCTGAAGGTTGAAAGAGGGGCTTTGACTGTTTGCTTTGACTTGCTTCCATTTAGGTGTCCGTTTGGTTGGTTTGCTTAAAAAATAGAGGGCCCTGGTTTGGATGGGCTTTATTCCATTTACTAGGGCCATCTATTTTCCAAAAGGCCACCTATGCTTGCTCCTTTTTCACTGGTCATCCCACTTTCCATGTTCCAACTGGGACGATTTCGATGTGAGCGAAGACATGTCGATGTTTTTTGGAGCTCATCGCCCTGCTGGAACCTCACGGAGTCGGCTTGCTTTTGGCTTCCTTCAAAGCCAACCCCAAATGTCTACCGACTTGAACACCAGAGCAAATAATGGACCCCCAAGGGGGGGCTGGGGGGGCTATCCCTGGAGAAGCCAAGGCAGGCAAGGATGACTCAATAAGATCTTATTAGGGGTTAATAAGTCATAGCCCCCCTCCCATCGTCCCCCCATGGCCCCCCTTTGGGCTCCACGAGCAAGGCACAGACAAACGACTCACCGTTTTGGGATCGAACCTCGGGGTCTTTCCTCATGGCGCTCAGGTTCCAGGACATTGGCACTCACCTCCTGGAAAAGCCATCGCCTTGGGACGCAACTGGCCAACGGCCCTTGGCGCGCATCGACCAGAGACCCTTTGGGCCGCTTTGGGCGTGGCCTTTCTTTTTCTTTTTTTAGCTTGGACTCCCCTAACATGTGTGTGTGTGTGCTTTTTTGTTCTGTTGGTTTCCCAAAAAAGCCAACCGAAAGACGGGCCCAATGGGTTTTCCCATGGCTGTTTCGAAGGTGATCGCCTTCCAGGCCCTTGGGCAACGGAGGCTTTTGCCCCCGTTCCCTCAATATGCGAAGTGTGTACATGTTTTGTTCGCAGGTGTCCTTTTGGGTTGTTTTGCTACCCAGACGCTCCCGATCGATTCAGGGCCCTCAAGCAGCTGGGTTTTGAGACCCCCAAACACCTCCGGGGTGTCTAATGGAGGGGTCGGGTCTTCCATTGGAAGCCCCAGGAGCTTCTGGGTAGAAGAATACATGGCGATTCCTGGTTTACCTGGTGGTTTAATCATCTACCAGGGAAATCCATCTATTTCCATTTTTCCCAAAAGGACACCTATGGTTTTGCTCCTCCCCAGCAATCGTCAAAAGCCAGGCACCTTTGGTTTGTCTTAAGATCTGATTTGTGAAAGGACCCCCTTGTCTGTTTCCCTGGGCTTGCATGGCTGCTCTGTTTCTTGTGATCGCCTGCCCAGAGGCTCCTCTTTCAATGGAAGAAACTCGCCCTGGGGACTTTGCGAACCGGGGACGTTTGCGGGTCTCAAAACCTGATGCTCTTTGAGGGCCCCAGCTGAACCGGGAGCCTTTGGGCGGGGCATTTCTAGGGCCCGGCATGTCGCCGGGCCGGCTTGATCACTTTTTCAGGGGCGCGGGCGAGCCTAGACCTCCAGTGCCCGTTTCTCCTGTGCTTCAAAGGTGTTTACGGTATTTCCTGTTTAAAAGAAGGTCAACTACCAACACAACGGTGCTGGAGGTCCTGGCAAAAGTTGTTCTGTCGGGATGGCCCTCAAGTAGCCAAGGAGGCAAGCAGGGGTTCAACATTTATTTGCTTAGGTGAGTGTGGGACTTGGCTCGAGAACTTGCGGACTCTATCACGAACCTGTTCTCACGAATGCAAAACACGCCTTTCCTCTTCTCTTACAAAGTCTTGGTGTTTTCATGGCGCCTCATTCGCACCAACACGCGTCTCCATGTCGTAGCCTTTGAGTCTTTCTGTGGCAACCTCATGCGTGCCGAAGATGTTTTTCAGACTCAGAAGTCAACTCCAGGAAGTTCAAGCACCAACCAATCGTTTTGGCTTTGCCATAAGTGTTTCTGTAGATTTGTTCCAGCTGGCAAACTCCAAGCTTGTTCGTGCGTGTCTCCTTCTCTAGCCTCACCGCTAAGTGAAACACGGCTCCAACGCCCTGCTTCGCCCTCGAGCTTTTCCCAGCTAATCGTAATTGGGGCAATTGTCTGCCAAAATTTTGGTGAAGCCTCAAAATGGGGAATTTGCGCGCTTTCCTGCAAGTTTCCCTTTCGACCCACTTTTCTTTTTTTGGGGTGGGGCAACCCACTTTTTTAAGGGCTAGGGCGAGCCTCGAAAAAGACGAGCGGCGGGCCGACGGGCCTTCCGCCGGGCCTTGCTCCGGATCGAGCCATGGACCCGGCCATCACCACCCACGTGCTGAACACCGCCTCCGGGTCCGCGGCGGCGAAGGTCGCAGTGAGGCTCAGCCGCAAGACGGGGGTCGCGCCCAGCGGGGACTTCTTGTGGGAACCAGTGCAGGACCGAACTTTGGTGAGATCTTAGCCAAGGGAGGAATTCGGACTGAATCACCTTTTGCCAACTTTTCGGGGTTGTCCATGGGTTTTCCGTATTAATTAAACCACCAAATGTCCAACTTTTGGCGGGGGGAGCAGAAAGGCAAGCGACCGAAGTGGTTAAACGTTCCCCTTCTCTTTCTCAGGCCCGAGGCGAATCCACGTGTTATTCGTGGTTGACTTGGAACCAAATTTTACAAAAGGTTCTAAAAGGGTCATGATAAACATTTTCCAGGCAGTTTTGGGTAACTGAGCTCTTAAATCCCTTCCAATCCCTTCCCCTGAAGTGGGTTGATTTCATGTTTCCCTCTCAAAATCCAGACCAGTTTTCTACACGTGCATGTATATGTGTCTCCCTTTGCGCCAAGTAATATTGAATGAAGGGAATGCTTGCACAGGATTCCACCCCCCAGCCCCCCCCCCCCAACCCATGGCTTCCCCAAAATCAGACCCAAAGGCCTTGCTTGCAGGAAACCAGGAATAGAAGTTCCCCCAAACCCAATGCGTTTATTCATTTACGTATTTATTTATTCTGTTGATGATTTGATTGTTTTTGCTTTTGTATGTATTTGCTCATGTTTTTTTTTAAAGGAGAACACGCAGGGCATCCGCAAGGGGTGGGGGGTATCCCGTAGCTCGCCAGGAGGGTGTCACGGACGAGAAGGGCCGCCTGGGGCTTTTGGAGGGCCTCAAGGTGCAGAGGCGGGTGGCAGGTTTGGCCCAAGCGGTTTTTCTTTTGGTTCCTCCGGGTCACCCAGGGCGTTGTCTTCATGGGTTGTTGGGCAACCCCAAGGGAAATGCAAGCAAGGACTAAAACTCTGGTGGTTTGATTTTGACCCATACCCAAAATGGCCTCGGTCTTGCTTTTGGTTTCAAAAGTTGAACAAAGAAGAGGTACAAACTCCGAAAACAGACGCACCCGAATGACCAAGCCACGTTCACGTTGGCTCATTTGGTTGGATCTTTAGATTTTAACTTAGTGGGAAAGGTAGTTTCCATCTAACTTCTAAATGGTTACGTCATGCATCATGATGGCTTGAGCCGTCCAGGTTCAGTCTTAGAACAACAATGATGGGCCCTTTTGGTACGGGTCCACTATTGCCCACAGCATGCTTGACCCGTGATTCTATGTGTTGTTTCTGTCCAAGCACTGATTCAAAAGTAAACAGTTGGAAGTCGAACCGGCAAAGCTAAGGAAGTGTGGTTGTAAGTATAGCAAGTGTAGTTTTGCAGTTGTGCCCTTGTACCGAAAAAAGTTGGTACCCTTATTCCAGATCCTCTCTACAGGACCTAGGGATTGGGGGCCTTTCTTATCGTTTTTTTCTCTGAAGGGGGTTATCTCCCTGCAGGGGGGAGGTCTACGAACTGATCTTCGACGTGGCGGGCTACTTTGCCGACCAAGGCAGCGAGTGATGTGCTGCACCCCCTTTGGGGGGGGTTGTCTCAATGAATTGGAATCAGACCCCACCAAAAATGGGTAAAACATGGGTGGGTGTTCCTTTGGTGTTGCTTTGGATTCTTTGTTGTTCAGTGGGTTTCGCCCTTCTTTCAACTTTTTTTGAGTAAATGTTCTGACTCCTTCAAACTCAACCAACAACACAAACGGATGCCGAGTTTTATTTCCCCATGGCCACTGGGCATCTGAGAATTGGAATCGGACCCCACAAAAATGGGCGAACCATAGGTGTTCCTTGGATTTTTCCTTTGGTTTCCCTTCAAAGCCGCCCCCAAAACTGGCTCCCAAAAATTGGCTCCTGATCCTTTCAGGCTCCATGCCAGTTGTTGTTTTTTTTTTTGGGGGGGGGGGGTTGAGGGAGGAAGAGGGGTCAAGTCAGGCGGGATTCGTCGGAGTTCGCAGGCGTGGAGTGCTTCTACCCCTCGGTGAAGGTCGCCTTTGTGATCCAGGAGGGTCATCACCACGTGCCTCTGCTGATCGCACCCTTCGCGTACTCAACCTACAGAGGCTGCTGAGGCAGCTTCGGACGCTTCAGGGGAAAAGCCGGGCCTCATGATTCAGAAGCTTCAGGCGGGCGGTTTTGGGAGGAAGAAGGTGGCCTCCTTTTTCCCTCAGGCACTGAGTTCATGGACTTGATGAGTTTTGAGAAAAAGGCTTGGACTCTTTCTTTTTTTTGCCCATCCACTCAGGGAGTCATAGCCTTCTTCACGTCCTGCAGGTAGCCAGGCAGCTAGGCAGAGGGAGGCCAACGAAAGCCTCCTACTCTTACTTGGTTGGTTCACACACTGTGAGTCTCAGTAACCCGCGGAACACAGTCCCAGAGGGTCCCTCCGTACCTTATATATTTGCGGATTTGAGGAATCTGTAGTTGATGAACCCCCAACCAAACCCAAGACCTCAAATATGGTTGGTACTTGGACTCCCTGGGAGTGAGTCTCAGTAACCCGCGGAAAGGCCGAAAGGCCAGGACCCGCGTGATTGTTGAACTGGGTGCATAGCAATATGCTGTACGTTTCAACTTCAGGGCTGCACTACATGGACCGTCCTCAGCATCTTTTAATATGGCCGTTTTGGAGATCCAGCACCTTTCAATGGAGGATGCTTGGGATGACAAACCTCAACAAGCCCTGGGGAACCTTAACGAAGCCTGGGGCTCTCAACTACCAACCCCCTTGTACCTACCCCTCCTAAAGATTTCATAGTTCAGGTGGCCCTGTTTTCTCAAAGTTGAACCCAAGGCGCCGGACGTCCCCGCGCACCCGAGATGGCCCAAGCGTCTCACAAGCGCCACATGCGAAAAGCGCTCCTTTGGCCGACGGGGTTGCGGAAATGGTTCAATACTGTGGATGGACAATTTCGCACCTCCTAAGAAACCAGGGTTGAAGCCATAATTTGTTGGTATTTACAGGGAATCATCAAAAGCCTGGGTCTCGTAGGTGCAGGATTTCGCCCATGCACGGTATGTCCCGTAGGACGGTTCAAGCATCACTTCGCGGAACTGAAGGTACCTTCCTCTTGGAAGGAGGTTCAAAGTCTTGATTGCTATTGGGTTGGATCTTTACTTTAACTTGGGAAACAGGCGGGAATATCCATTGGACACTTGTGTGCAGAGGGGTCGCTACAGCAACCAAGAAGCCAAACCTCGGGAGTCCCACCGAAAGAAAATAGAGGTCTTCCAAAGTCGTCCATGGAAGGTTCTTTCCTGTGGCTGCCTGCTAGAAAACCCTCGTTTCAGAGTCTTCTACGGTGATTGTAGGTATGTGTTTCTACGAATTCAAGCGGGCACCTGGTAAAGCGAGCTCACTTCTGGAGGGCCCTTTCTTGGAAATGCCTCACTTCAGGGCAGATTTCCTGCATATGGGCCGGTTGATTGTCGAAATTCGAGAAAAACCTGTGGCTACCGCCCAGAATCAGTGGTGTCCCTTTGATTTCAGGTTTCAGCAAGCCAAGAAAGGAGCCTGAAAACAATGATTCAACGTGTTTGTCTGAATCAAACAGAAAATGTTCAGTTCAGACAGTCTTAGAGGTTCCGCGGTTCTGTCATTGCTGGCTCGTTCCCCTTTGATCGCTTCGGTATATTGTTACCATCCGGCGTGTCCAAACTTGGCGGTCGGCCAAACATGAACAATAATTTCAGGACAGTTTTTCCTTGGTAGACCAAACGTGAACCAACATCTGAGAGCATTTTCTGGTAGACCACACATGACCCAGAGCTTGAGTATATTTCGGCTTTCAGGCTATGGTGGTTTGGATTGGTGGTTTGGGGATTTGAAGTCCTGTTGCTCTTAAAACCAAATGGGAATAAGCGGCAAGGTGAATGAGGTAACCCCGAATTGGTGATTTGGATTGGTGCCCGGCTTCTTGTAGAACTGGGAGACTACCCTTAACCAGCACCAGGCTCCAATCCAGCAACTTGGAAGCCGAATCAGATTTAGTCAAATGGCTGTGTGTCAACATGATGTACCCAAAATGGCTTGCCCTGCCACATGGACCCAAGCACTAAAACCTGCGGTCCATATCCTGCTGAATTTTGACCCATGCCCAAATCACGAGGTGTCTTGATGGCTATTGGGCAACGGATCTTTAGACTTTAACATGACTTTAACTTTTTGGAAACTAATGGTGCTTTCATTTCTTGATTGCTATTGGGTAGCGGATCTTTAGACTTCAACTTTTTGGTTGAAATCAAGTTGGGTGTTTTGCACTAAACCCCCCCAAAAGTTAAACTCACTTTTTGCAGGGGGGTCGTTGCCTTCGTTTCCGAGGCCTGGCGGTGCTTTGGTGCACGAGGCGGTAGGTCCAGTGCTCGCTCGGGCCTCGGTTTCGGGGTTCGAAGGGCTGGGTGGTCCCAGGGTGGAGGTGAAGCTGCGATTTGGGGCGGTCTGAGCAAAGACTACGGAACCAGGTTTTGCAGCTAGGTGCCCTTTTGCCAACTTTTTTGGGGGAGGGTTCCCGCGCTAAAATGGACTACAGAAAAAAGGGTGCCCTTATTGTAACCTCTCTACTGGAGGACCTAGGGAATTAACTTGCCAGACTGTTGCATGTTCAAGCCAGGAAGCGGCCATAGCCATGCTTACACGGGAACTTACCCGAGTCAGTTTAGCTACAAGGGAATCTAAGAAACCTTCTCCAGGAAGTTCGCCCAAACATGTTTTGTTTTTTTTTGGGGGGGGGGGTGTTTTTTGTCTTTTCTTTTTCGTGGGGGTCTTTGGCTTTCCTGGATAATTTCCGGGATTTGGCTTCTTGGACATGAGTCACTGTCATAAAATTACAAAGGTGTACGAGGAGATGGGCCAGCCAGGGCTTATCCCCCGGTTTCTTGGAAACTGACCCGACATGGAACCCAGCAGAGAAATGGCCCCTTTTAATCAAGCCAACACCACCGAGTCCTCAGGTCTACCTGAGGGTTGTTTTGGCTAAGCGCCTCTGTGACACCAGGCCAAGCTCCTAGTGATGGAGCAGCAGCGCCGAGCCAGGATGCCGGAGGCCCGATGCCCGCGTTTGCTTCAAGTCCTTATGGGGGAGCCCTGCCCGCGTTGGCTTCGTCCTTTTTAGAGCGCCAAGAGGATTGATACGTCTTTCTTTGAAGGCACTTGTGTGTGTGTGTGGGTGTGTGGGTGTGTCATGGCTGGTTTTTGGTGTGACGCCCCTTAGACCTTTTGGAGACCATTAAACCTTACAAAGGTTACCCTTCCTCCCACTAACATGGCACCTGAGGGAGGGTACCTGGAAGATCAGCTTCCTCTTGGAGGGACCCCCTGTCCGGTGCCATGTTAGTGGGAGACAGGGTAAACCTTTGTTGCTGAGGGGGGAGGAGCAACCCTGTTGTTTTCAGATTGTTTGCAAAGGGGAACTGAAGGGAGAGGGTCGGAATTCTTGTAGAAGCTGCAGCGCAGGTGGCTTTTAACTGGCCCTGCATGACTCTGTCTTTTCATCCCTGGGTAACAATGCATAGCATTCGAGAGATTTCAGAAACTCAAGGTGACAAGCGCCTACGATGTCAAGCTTCTGGGAACTCGGAAACGCAGAAAGAGGCAGAGGTTCCAAGAACAAAAATACTCGACATCTTGGGAGTCCGGAAGAAAAGGTGAGCAGCAAACCACAAGCAACCGAGAACCAGGCAAAAAACAAGTTGCGCAAACAAATCTGGCACAGTCAGTTTCAAGCGTGGCTTGGGAGTAATCTCCGACCAGCCCCTGTGAATTCTCCCTGGGGGTAATGCGTCCGTGGTGTGTGCTACAACTACTGACTGATCCTTCCATTTAACTTCTGCCAGCAACTGGGCTTTTGCCAAACAGATCGCCAGCGCGATGAGTAGAACACATGCGCCATCAATGCGAATCTACAGTAAGAGCTGTTTGCCGCATGCCGAAGAGTCGAGTAGCCTTCCAAACCATACTCATTTATACATATATTCCCTAGGCAGTGTGAATAGACCGTTTTAATCTGTTGCTTTCCTTGATTTGAATTCCCATATTGGGGTTACCCGGAGTCAGTTCCCTTGCAACCGTGCTTCTATCCTATTTGGGACCTGGCGTAGGCTGATCATCCAAGTATCACTAAGAATAAATAGAGACCCTCCTTTTTCTGCTTGCTCACTAGCGAGGGCGTGCCCAAGAGAAGGGCAGTTGTCATAAACAGCCGAGTGTTTGCGTGCAACCAAAAGGAAACTAGCACCGCCATGCTTAGATGTCCTTATCCTATTCTATGAAGCCTTAACGGGTTACCCTCCCTGAAAGGCCCACTGGTGCAAACCGAGGATATGGTTCTATGATCGGCCCATTGTTCAGCTCACTTCCTATAAGTTCATGTTTTATTTTTTAACTTTTGGGTTTAGATCATTTTGGTGGAAAGCAGGAAGTTTGAACATTTTGGGCCACTCCGCTCAGGAAGTGAGTCAGTATGTTCCTCTTTTTGATTGTTCGGTGTTCCCCACTAAACACGGTCAGCACCGAGAACGGTCAGTAGCTAGCACCCTTGCTCCCTTTTGAAATGGAATGAACCCTGCCCAAAAGGGTCCGTGCCACCCTTCACCTCCCTGAATGTTTACTGACTTCCCCAGCAACACCACGAACTCGCAACCAGAGGCGTCCAATTCCTTTCCCAGTCTTTTGCTCACCGCCATCGGGGAACTGGAGCATAAGCCCCACGTGGCCAGGTGCTGCGAGTGCCGACTTTGCAGGTCTTTGCCACCTCGATGAACACCTGCCGGCGGCCCCAGAAGCCAAAAGGGGCGGGTGGGTGATGGGTATGACTGGAGGAACTGGAGTTACCGGTTCATGCCTAGCCATTAGAACTTCAGGATAGATGGACAGATAGATAGATATATAGATAGATAGATAGATAGATAGATAGAGAGACGGAGAGACGGAGAGATTAACAGAACGAGAAAGATAAAGAGACAGAGAAAGAGGAATATAAAGATGCTGAAAACGAGGAAGATGAAGACAAGGAAAAGAGAGACAAGTTTAACGATACACGGAAACGGAAAGATAAACAGAAGACAACCAAACAA